ACCGGCCCCCAAATATCAATGTTCTAAATTAGTGAAAGTTGGCCAAATTTTCAAGAGTAAAGAAGACTTGAAACTAGCCCTAGGACTAAAATGTCTTGAAGAGAGTTACCAAATGAAAACCACCCATTCCACGGGATCTAGGTTCGAAGCAGTATGTATATTAGAAAAGTGTGAATGGGGAATAAGAGCGACCGTAATTAATGGTACGACATTGTATCAGGTTCTTACATTTAAAGACTTACACACATGTTCACAAATGAAAGTCTATCCCAATCACCGTCAAGCAAACAAGAAGGTGTTAGGTCATATACTGAAAGATGAAATGAATGACACAAGTAGAGTATAGAGTGTGATCCCAGATTCAAGTCAAACAATTAATTCAATCAAATATGATCAAGAACATGAAGATGATTTCAATCAGTCGACATGCTTGTTTTCCAAGACTGTTAAGTACAAGTTCTTGATCTTCTTACAATTTCTCTCTCAATCTTAATCTATGTATATATATGAATCTGACACTCAATCACAACTAACAAAACATAAAAGATGTTAGTTATAGCAACCCCAAAATAGAAAGACAACAAACCAAACTATTAAAATACTTAACTATTACAAAGCAATATAAAACATTTTAAGCACATAGACTTAAATAAAACATTTTTGTTCCAACAAAGAGCCATGACATCATCGTCGATATGAAGAACAACTACAAAATCTCAGTTAGCTATATTCAAGCTTGGAATGCAACGTGTTATGCCATTCTCCTCCTAAGAGGTGACCCGGAGCAATCGTTTTCCTTACTCCTGGTAATATTGCTACAATTTGGAGAATGCTAATCCAGGGACCATAACGAAGATCGAGGCGGATGAAAGGGAACATTTTGAGCATTTATTTGTCGCCATTAGTTGTGCAGTAAGAACATTTTTATTGAAATTATATGTATATATACACTATTTTTATATATACTCATTTTGTTTGTTCTTTTTCATCTTTTATAGATTCGATCGTTTTGAATCACTTACGACGCTGATTATAAGAGACGGTGCTCATTTGAAAGGTCCTTACTTAGGTACCATATTTTTTGTAAAACCCAAAAAATTTCGAGGAATAAATAATGTATTACTTCGATTTTTATTCATATATATATATATATATATACATATATATATAATCAATTTGAAACTTGAATAAGTTAAATCTTGCTGATTTTGGCCACGGCTGAAGGCTCTTATTAGAGGAAGGCTAGCTGTTGACGTTGGGAGAGGCAGAAGAAGGCAAGCGATGCCTGGTCCCTTTGAGGAAACTGTGACCTGCATGCTTGCAGAGGGCAATTCACAGCCAAAAACCCGGGATTTGGCCGATTTGGTCAACTAATAGGCCAAACCATTTGAGTATAAATCGTGGGCACTAGCTTAGAGTCGTTACTCTTTGAGAAGGAGAAGGAAATCGTTGAGCCTGAAGGAGAGAAGCCGGAGTTCATACCATCAAGAAAAACACTGCTTCCCGTCGTTTAGAGGTAATTACTCGACCCAAATTTTATGATGATACAAGGCTTAGTCATGCCTTTGGCCCTGTATAGAATCCTAGAAGGCTCACGTCCAAACCTTGTGTTTTGGGATTCGATTTCAACGATTAAGATTTCATTTGTTAAACACGTTGTATCGCATCCTGCTTAGAAACCACCTTAGAGAATGTTACACAGAAGCTCTGCATAAGAGCTCTATATCAAGTGTGTAAGACATAAGCTCTGCATGAGAGCTTTGTGTCATGCTAGCCAGAAGCTCTGCATGAGAGCTCGTATCAAGTTATGTTGGACAGAGGCTCGGCGTAAGAGCTCTGTGTCAAGTTATGTTAGACAGAGGCTCTG